AACTAACCCCAATATCCACGGTATCACCAAAGGAACAGCAGAATATAAACTCCATATGTTCGCAGACGACCTGTTACTCACCCTCTCCCAACCCATCATCTCCCTCCCTAACTTATTCTCACTCTTACGCTCATTTGCCCAAGTCTCTAACCTAACGGTCAATAATGATAAATCCTGTGCGCTTAACATCACACTGCCATTCCGGCAGGTGTCCGACCTCACCCACAATTTCCAATTCCAATCCAATACAATTCCCACCTAAAATACCTTGGGGTGCACATCTCCAACACCTACGATACTCTCTATGCCGCCAATTACCCCCCGCTCTTTGGCGCCCTCAAGGACCTCTTGTCCTCCTGGACACGACACAACCTTTCCTGGATGGGCAGAATAAACGCGGTCAAGATGACTATCCTCCCTAAGTTGCTATACCTTTTCCGCACCTTGCCCATTACCTGTAGACCTGAACGCCTTGAACATTAATCCCGGACAAGCCCAGTGCCTCCCCCCCTTCTTGCTCCTCCTTCTACTTCCACCCTGTTCTCTGGACTACAGCACTTAGGATTCCCTTATCCAGGTTGTTCTCCCACATTTGGATGCTCAACTGTCCCGAGGAACCTGGTGACCATGAGTCCCCAATTCTGAACCACCCAAGATGTCTAACGTTACCATGTTCCTCTGTAATGCTCTCCTCAGTATTGATTACTGTACTGCATTTTGTATGCTATATGTTGTTATAACCCAATAAAAACTTTGAAACAAAAAAAATAAAAAATTAAGAAACAGTAAAAATAATTGACACTAACCCCGCCGCCCTGCCATCAGGTTGCCATTCTCCATTGAGCATCACAGGACCTGGCCTTGGGGCGGCAGGGAGAGTAAATCCGGCCCTGGGTGGGGGCGCCCGGAATTTTAGTTAATAGCTGTCATCAGTGGCTTGTGAGCTGCTGATGACAGTTATTAATTTAAAGGGGACCGTCTGGGGAACATTTCTTATATAAGTTCATGGTCGCTTTACTTATAGAAGAACTGTAAATGCCAGCGCCGTAAGGCATACTGACCTGGCCAGCTGGGAACAGTTTTGTTCCGCCGTATGCTTTACGGCACTGGCAGGAAAAGGGTTAAAGTATCTATAGTGAAATGTTTTTTTCCCGTTTTGGATAATTAGAAAAGAAATGTATACCATTCCTTTTTTCTTTTTTTTTTCCACTGTGTCCTGCTAAAGAGAGGAAATGCCCCTCTTTGACAGCTTTCCCCACAACATGTGCCTCCGCATATTGAAAGATTTCCCTTCCCCTCATGTTCTGATGACAACTCTAACATTAGTATTTCCCATCACTTTAAGTCCAACTGACAATGGTCACCAAATAGAGAGGGCAAATCTCTTCACAGATACACAATAAAAGTGTGACAAGGTTACTAACCATTCCCCACTGTCCAAAACTGATGTGAATCAGCTAAAACTCCAACAGTGTATGGCTAGCTTTAGTCTTTGGCTTCATAACAGCAGAAACAATGTAATTTGGGCTCCTACTTGCCACTCTATGATCAGAAATATTCAATATCATTCTGTACCAGTGCAAAATGACAGTTGGGAAATGTATTAAAAGATACAATTGGAAAACAGACTTACTGCCAGAATTTCAATCTCCGTATTTCTTTGCTGAAAGATTGTTATGGAAGTTTGAAGTTTTGAAAGAACCTGCAAATATAAAACCAGTATAACATTTTCTTTAATTACATGTAGAAAACCTATGCTATCATTGTATCTGTACTATACAGAGCGCTTCAGACAAGTCCAAGTAAAGGAAACCTATTCTGGGAGAAATATAGAGGCTGATATTGCAGACCTTCTGAATATTATAGTTAACAGGCTTTCATCTGACTCAGCAGCATTAATATTTGAAGCCTCTGACCTGAGACAAGCATGCATATCAGGGGTTCTGGCTACATACTTGGTTCCAGGTCAGTGATAAAGTACTAAAGTCAGACACATTCCGGCAGCTATTATTTTCACAAGACCAGACACAGCGCCCCAACAGTACATACAGTTCAGGACTAGCAATCTTGCATTGTACAGAAGGACACAGAGGGCTTGCCCACATACTGAGATCGTTGGAGAGAGGAGAAGAAGGCTGGTGGCTGGGGAAGTGGGGAATAGGTTAAGTATTTTAGCTTTAGCTTTAACAAAACAAGCTATTACAGGCATGCTCTGCTGCAAGGTGATTTTCTTTTATCAAATTAATTTTATCAAATGAACATGTGATGGCAAGGTCACTTTAACCAGTTGACATCTGCGGTGTTAAACCCCCTTCCCATCCAGGCCATTTTTCAGTATTCCGTCATGCAGAGCTGTACTGAAATGAATTTTATACCCTTTTTTGGGGTCAGATAGAGCTTTCTTTTGGTGGTATTTATTCACCACTGGGGTTTTTATTTTTTTACTATATTAAGGGATATTAAGGGATATTAAGGGATATTAAGGGATATTAATGGAAATTAAGGGAAATTAAGGGAAATTAAAAAAAAAAAAACAGTTTCCCCTATATTAAATGATAAAACATTTATTATTACCCAATTTTTTGGTAAAATATAAAAGATGGGGTCACGTCGGGTAAAAAGACACTAAACATGTCAAGCCTTAAAATTGCGTGCGCGCGCGAAACCTCAAAAAACGATAATACCCAAAATTGGCCATAGGCGACGCTTTAAAAGCTGTTACCGCTCATCAGTTTAGTGTTATCAGTGATTGATGGCCCTAAAATGATTGCTCTCACTGCGACGTTCGCGGCGATATGTAACATGTGTAGCGCAATTGTAATTTTTGCGCGCTGGGGCACCGGACGCGTATTTACGTTTATAGGCGCGTAAACGTGGGGGTGGGGGAGTTAAACATTTTGGGGGGGGTTTTTCCCCTTTTTTTATATGTGGCTTTTATTTTATTTTATTTTTTTATGTGTTACTTTTCTTTTTTTTTATTTATATTTTATTTTTTGCACTTATTGTTATTGCTATTATATAGGGGGATAACAATCCCCCTATATAATAGCAAAGGCACACTGACAGGTCCTCTTTATGGAGACATTAGGGGTCTCTAGGACCCCTAATGTCACCTGTGGACCCCAAAAGAAGCTGATGAAGCAGAGATCTGCTTCATCATCGGACGTGAACGAGCACATATAGGCGATCGGGGGGCTATGGACCCGCTGATCGCCTATATGTGAAACACCCGGTAACGGGTGTGTGCAATGGTCGGGTCTTTTCTGCCCATGCATGCCCGCCAGGGGGCGCGCGCGAGCAGAAAAAAATTGCACCCGCCAATACAGCAGTGCCGTCCGTCCGTTTTTTTACTACGGGCGGACGGCAAGAGGTTAAAAGCTAAAATGGTCTTAAATTGATGGGAGTTGGATAAACAGGAGCTGGGAAAACAGTGGGAGAGGTCAGCCAGTTTAAAAAGGCAGTAACTGTCAGACTTCAGGTAACTGCTATCCCCCGATAGCAGAGCTAAAGCATCAAAGTAAATAAAGTGGAGGGGAAGGAAGGATAAAGGGGAGAGAGAGAGATAGAACGCCTGCAAAATTATAACAATTTATGATTGAATACTCAGATTCTCATGTGACTGTCATACGTGTGGGCAAAGCATTTAATCCTTTTCGGATTACAAAAAAAATAGATTGATCAATAGATTGATGACCAGTTCACGTTAAACAGGTCTTAATTACCAGTGAGCTTATTTAATACAACCAGACCAGTGTGTAGAACCCCATTCAGCGACCAGACACCAGGTTCTGGAAACTGTAATAAAAGCAGATTTCTATTTACCTGCTATGGGTTACTGCACCCCCCTGTCAAAGTGCATAGCTACTAAATAAACCCAATTCATTTATTCTAGCACCCTTTGTGATAAAAGCACTGAAAGCAAGCCATCAAATCTGTTTATTGGAATAATAAATGTGATGACAACATATGCTCATGTAGATCAAAGCATCTGTCTTCCCAGTCAAGCTGGTGCAAGTTTGCATTATATAGCCAGCCATTATTTGTGGCCTTTAAACACCTTATATTTGCAGGCATACTATATTAAAAGTAGTTTCTACAGTACTTAGTTTTCTGTCCCTAGAGAGAGATGTGGCTACCTGGGTTTCATAACGGCGTCGTGCGCTGGCAGATAACCTTTCTGGAGCGATGACACTGACATTCGGGACCATGCTACTGCTGTGCTGCTCAAACTGACCTGTCAAATAAGAGAGAATAGCCTCAGATGGCACATAATATTCAAGAGGACTGTCCCTGTATACCCAGCCAGAGCCTCACACAACAGGGAGAAACAAAGAGACTCGGTGACCAACATATTCACACCAGACATGCAATATAACATACACTGAATGACGCCATCAACTTTGCTATGCACATTTATGAGCCCATATTATGGTACAGGTTACGTCTATGCAGAGCTCATACAACAAGCGTGGTTGCTTCAATTAAAGTAATGGTTTTCGGCATCCAATGTCAGGCTTTGTTATCTTTTACTGAATAGCTTACCAAAAATAGTTAAGTGACACTAAACTCAGGAGTTAAAAATGCATTCAAATACACTATTAACAAAAAATGTATCTCATGTGTATGACTCAGAATGAATTCAGAGATGACTTCAGGATCTACAGCTGACACTGTCCTTCCTCAGAGGGTGGCTACTTTTGTTCACCCATGGTCCCCATGTGTGTTGTAAAGTAGCCACCGGTCCAAGCTCGCTCCCGTGATGGACTACAATCTCAATAAAAATTTGTAAACTAAATGTTAGATTGTAGTCCATCACAGGAGCGAGCTTGGAGCGGTGGCTACTTTACAACACACATGGGGACCATGGGTGAACAAAAGTAGCCACCCTCTAGAAGGAAGGACAGTGTCAGTATGAATTAAAAGATGATTTGAGGATCTACAGCTGAGTGATACAAAAATAAGCAACATTGTTTGTTAAGTTAAGGCACTTGAATGCATTTTTAAGATTTTACTCCTGAGTTTAGTGTCACTAAGTATCAGGATATAATAAAAATCATCTGGTCCTTAGCAGGTCTTAAAATGGTAAATACAACCTCAGATGAACAACAACACATGACACTATGTCATTATTTATTTTACAAACATAATGCCAAAAAACTGAGAAGTTGTGTGAAAAACTAAGTACAACTTTACTGCTTCCATAGGAACTAAGAGGCTATGTAGCAGCCAGGTGCTGCTAATCATATGCCCTTGATTAACTGATCAGAAAGTGTGACTACCACTATAAAGCAAACGTTTTAGCAGTTTGCTGATCTGGAACATTCAGTTGTGTGTTAACACAATGCCGAGGAAGCAAGACATCAGCAATGACCTCAGAGAAGCAATTGTTGCTGCCCATCAATATGGGAAGGGTTATAAGGCCATTTCCAAACAATTTAAAGTCCATCATTCTACAGTGAGGAAAATTAATCGCAAGTGGGAAACAGTTGCCAATCTCCCCAGGAGTGAACATCCCAGCACATTCCTAATAGTAGTGTTCAGCAGGGCTTTTTTTTTACTTAGCTGTTAAGTCAATCTATCCATCCTTAGGCCTCATTCACACAGCTAAGTGTTGTCCCGTACAGCGTACACGGCCGTATCGGGCCGTTCCCCGGGAAGGACAGGTGCTGCGTGTGATTGTACGCAGCAGCCTGTTCTTCCCTATGGGAGTACACCGCTATACGCTCACCCGAACTGCACATTCGTGCGGGTGTCCGTGCTCGGACGCAGACAGGATCCATCCTGTCTGTGTAGGAGTATGGACACCCGCACGGATGTGAAGCTCAGGTGAATGTACTGTCACATACTCCCATAGAGAACCGGCGGCTGCGTACAATCACAAGCAGCACCTGTCCTTCCTGGGAATGGTCCGATACGACCGTGCACGCCACATGGATCTGTACGGGCTGACACTTAGCTGTGTGAATGAGGCTTAAAGCTGGCCATACACCTTACAATTATCTGTAGATTTTCTGTGGTCAGATGGAAAAAGGTGCAACAGATTCCTCCATCTACACTTAACTGTGTGGATGGAGTAATCTCCACCTGGGCCAATCTGTTGCACTTTTTCCATCTGACCACAGAAAATCTACAGATAATTGTAAAGGTGCCCATACACTGCACGATTCTCGTACGAGAATCGCGGGAAATCCCGCGATCGTACGAGAATCGTGCAATGTATGGAAGGCGTGCGACCGTTTCTACTGTACGGTCGCACGTCTTCCGTCGAACCAGCATGCTAGAAAACCCGCCGGGAATCGAACGATTCTCGGCGAGTTAGTGGCCTGCTGGTTCGACAACTGCCGAACGGGCCGGTGTGCGCATGCGCACACTGCCCGTTTGCAGTCATCGTAAGCCCGCCCCTCATTACAGTCATCGTAAGCCGGCCCCTCAGGGGGGCGGGCTTGCGATGATCGAGAGTACGATCTGCCTGTCCAAGATGGACAGATCGTACGTTTTTTTAAGTACTTTACAACCATCGCAAGACTAAGGTCTTGTGATGGTTGTACAGTGTATGGCCACCTTTAGGTGTATGGGCACCTTGAGAATGTTAATCCAGATGACCTGGTGAAGCAGCGGTCTCATCCCCCTTGTGCTTCTTCCATACTCTCTGTACCTTCTACCAGTTCTAGACTTCTTGTGTTGCAGTGCACACTATAACCTGGTTCACATGGGTTAGTACAATGAACAATCCACGACGGACACCAACTGGAATATGACATCGCCGTATCTCCAATTAGAAATGTTTTCTATTGACCGGAACACAGCACAATTGAGGCTGATGAAAGACAGCAGTCAGGACTCCATTTAATATCCATTCAGTTTACGCTGTTATAGAGAGACCTACATCACTATAAAAAAAAAAAAAGTCCTGTCTAAGCAGCAATTCTGTACTTACTCTGTGAGCTGGCGAAAGTGCCTTTCACATTCTGACCAGACATGGTGTCCAACACTTCCCTACATATAAAGAAAGAAAACCCATAATAATGGTTCATAGACACAAAACAGTAGCATGCATTGGATGGATTACAAAATATGGTGTTTAATTTAATAGCTACATATTTAAAATGGAAGCAGTCTCATGTCTGCTTTCATATACCATTACACCTTAGGGGTTTTGAAAGACCTAACCTGATATAGACATAGATAAATTACACTATATGCCATTATAATGCTCATTCAGTGCCTGCTTATCAACTGCTGCCCAAAATTGATATTCCATTTATAGCTGAGAATGAATCTCGTATAAGCTTCTAATATTTTTTTTTGGTGGCGAGGTAAGATCTCACTTGTCAGAGCCCCCTGGCTTTCCTCTCCACATAATGGAGTCTTACTCCTTTAGCTGTATTTTCTTAAAAATAAACCTCTTAAAAAGGGTATTGGCTTCCATTGCTAACCTTGCCTTCTCAAAATGCTAGTTGGCTGGCTATCATGGTGATCCTTCAATGCTTTTTGAGTCACTGACCTGGAACAAGGAAGCAGCACATGAGTACTTGGACTTTACTTGCTGCATTCTTGTTACAGATACTTCAAGTACTGAAGCCAGGTAACTAAAAATGTGTAAGCCAGCAATACCATCTCCTAGTTTGCTTTCAGTACAGGTTTCTTTTATGCTATAGTTATTGGAATTGGAATACTAATTATCCGAACGAGACCCCTCAAAACCATGACAAAATGTAAGAAAGAAATGTAAGAAACTACCTGGGGATTTGATTCACTGTATATCAATTGCAGGTCATCAAAGATTTTTTTGGGAAAAAAAAATGGGACTGGACAACCACCAACCAGGTAACCTAAAATTACAGCTGTTTTTTTTTTGTTCCTTCACCTGTAGGCTGCAATCCCACCTGGGTGACAGCGTTTTCGCTGGATTCTACAGGCAATTTTGTTGCATGGTTTTTGCACGCATTTTACACACGTACATTAGGTTGCGTTTTTTCTGCGAGCAGATTGTGACACATTGATTTAAACGCGTGTTTTTCTGCATTTCCATTGAAGTCTATGGGGCTAAGAAGCGCTTAATTTGCCAAAAAGAAGCTCATGTAGTATTTTCCAGCGATGGCTATTTTGCTACAGGTGACAAAACACTCAGATGTGAATATAAACAGGATTTTGTTTTGGGCATTTTTTAGGACAGAAGAAGCGCTACAAAATGCTAGGTGTGAATGAGGCCTTAAACCTCATGGTTTTTTACAATTGCTAATCTATCACGTTTCCAGGTCCACAGAGCAGGCACCAAGGCTAATGTTAGTTGTTCACAGTAAAGTTAAGCGCTCAACACAACTACTGCTCTATTATCCCAGAGACACATTAGATGAAAAGATTCTGGGCTCTGCTTATCTGTTAAAGTTACCCAAACCTCCTAAGAGACAGACTTGCTCCTGAATTTTCTATATTCATTCATCTCTCTATGTCACTGCCACCCACAAACAGCCAAAGTAGTTCTTAAAGTAATTATTGGAGATGTTAGCCATTCCAACCAAACTTGTGTTATTTTTCCAAGGTAAAGGGAGATGAAACCTGACAAACTATTTCTACTGAAGCAGATCAAATTTGATCTTTCTCTTATGTAGAAGAACATCTGATGTATTGCTATAGACAACCGCCTCCCATATCTTTATTTCCTGAAAGGGAGAGCAGTATTTATCAAACCTGTTATTTCTCTCATCCAGCACTTTGATCCTCAGCTTCTGCAAAAGATGATCTACCAGATCCGACTCCAATATTCTCTTCTCGCTCTGCCTTTCCTTTTCAAATGCCTTCAGCTGTTCAAACACAAACAAAGTGGGTGGATTAATAATGATGTGTATTTAAAGTGGCTTATTTGGGGACAGCTGCTATTGCTGAATCATTCTAGAGACATTATCTGTGTATCTGGTTTTAGTTTCCAAAACGGGGACAGCCAATGTAAAGGGGCCCTCCGGCGGGGACAGCCAATGTAAAGGGGGGCCCTCCAGCAGGGACAGTCAATGTAAAGGGGGCCCTCCGGCTGGGACAGCCAATGTAAAGGGGGCACCCCAATGGGGACACCTAATGTAAGGGGGGCACTCTCATGGGGACACAATGTAAGGGGGCACTCGGGTTGGGAGAACTGATGCAAGGGGGCACGCTGATGCATGCTATACTTTTTTTTAATGAAGCCAGTCACGATGTAGTACAACAGCATCACACTGTGCCTAGCCTATAGAACTTAATGAAATGTCACTTGTGACATTTCAGTAAAGTTCTAACAAAAAAGAAAAAAAAAAAGAAATTGTGATGCCCTGGGATCGGTGCATCAGAACTGTGCCTGGGAACACACTCCAGCAGCTGTGCCTTGCAGTGCAGCAACAAATGTTATAGCAGCCTAGATGGCAGACCATGGTTCTCTCTGGACAACAATGCGGACCTCGGCTCCATTAAAATTTTGGTCAACAGACCTCCTTGAATTTTAATTCACTACAGCAATCAGTTCTCTTTTATGTTTAAGATCACATGAAGGTATTATTTTTGAAGTGGGTCCTTGGGGTAAATACTCTTCATTGGCAGAGTGGACCCAGATTCAACACTCAGAAGACAACCCTATACAAGTCTAAAGGTGCCCATACACCTTACGATTATCGTACGATAATCATATGCGATCGACTTTTCGTACGACAATCGTAACGTGTGAATAGAGTGCCCGACCGATAGTACTGTACAATCATACAACTTTTGACAGTCAAGCATGTTTGAAAACTTTGGTCGATCGTACGATATTCGCATGGTTGGTGGCGTTTCCGTCCATCAAAAGTCGTACGATTAACACTGCGCAAACTAAAATAATTGCGGTCAATTACCGCAAGTCGTCCAGGTGTTTCTTTTTAACTACCGCTGATTGAACCTTGCAATAATCGGGGCAGGATCATCGGATGAAAAGTTTTGTCCGATAATCGTAAAGTGTATGGGCACCTTTTCTAAGAGTACCGTAACACTTTACCATCTACCAGTTACTGCCAGTTCAGCATGAAAGTAATTCATCAGGTGTGAAGAAATTTTTCTTCACACCTGAATTTTTCTTCCCGTTTGTGCCATCACGTAATGTCAAGACCTTCAAATGATTTCTACACATCTAAAACACAAAAGAACACACAGGATTGCAGAGAACCTTACAAATTAGAAATGTAAGGTACTAATCAACACAGACGTGGAAAGGTGAATGCTCCGTGTTCATATGCGTTTTAGTTCACGTTAATATTATCTTCAGACATTCATGGAGGTTGAAGGATCAGCAGTACTGTACAGTTGTCTACAGCAGAACTGGTCAGAGCATTCCACTTGTGGGCTGTGATTTTTGCACATCACTCAGATTTACCTTGACGTGATTTCCTTCTTTATCTGAGACAATGGCAGCATGAGTGATCCCAGATATCCTGCAATGCTCTTGCAGCTCATCCTGTGACTGAGAGAAAAAAAACATTATAAGGAACCAAGTAAAAGTGAAAATTATTGTGAGAACCTTGTCAAAGAATGGAACTGCAGTAGAATTCCTATCAAAGCATACATTTCAGCAGTATGGTCTTGAGTGCACACTTCTGCCGCCGCTGGTTAACAGGTAAGGCCCTGCGTTCCACACCGCACTCTCGCTGGTGGACGGGGGCAGAGCCAGATGGCGGCCCAGCATCTTGTTGTCAGAAGCAGGACAGCGCACGCTGGTTACTATTTAAACCGGCACGTGCTGCGACTCAATTTTCAAGCCCTGTAAATTTCAAGGCTATAGTCCGGTCATGCTGATTGGTGACATTTTTGACTGACTGGTGAGACACTCTAAAATTTTTCAAGCCCTGTTCATGTCAATAGCTAGTACCATTGACCCACCATCACCATAAACCACACAATTTTATGAACCTGCTAGAAAAGAACAATGCTAATAATGTTTATAGGGTATTATTCATATAGTTATTATTTATGGATGTGAAGGACATAAGTGATGAGGTGATAAAAAAGGGACAAAGCAGAACAATGCCAACTTGGTAGCCATCTTGCCTCGTAGCACACGTGTTCTAGGTTTAATTCCAATAAAGAAATAACGTCACCAGCACTGGATAATTTAACAACAGTCCATTTATTGACACATTGCCATTCAATGCATTGAATGCATAGCATTCAATGGCAATGTGTCAATAAATGGACTATTGCTAAATTAGTCTTTGGAGTGCTGGTGACGTTATTTCTTTATTTGAGTTTCTCACGGTGCCATCCGTGCTCACTACAAGCACCCACCCGTCTCTTAGGGGTACTTTGATGTTTCAGTAAGGAGTGCAGCAAGATCTCAGATTCCTAGGTTTAATTCCCAACCAAAGCTCAGCACTGTAGTTTTAATGTTTGCAAAGGGTTCCACCACATGCTCCACTTTCCTCATGTAATAAAGAAACATGCTGTTGGTTACATGGCATGAGTGTAGTGGGGATGGTGAGCTCCTCCAAGACAAGGGCCAATGAGAACTGTGCTGTGTATGCATACACAACATGCTAGTGCTGCATAGATATGGGAAACAAGAAATAAAAATTCCTTACTGCAAAGGCCAGTCAGCCAAATATGCATACTTTATCAATATAAGGTGCATAATGTTTATTACTAGGTTACAAAGTAAAGAACTGGCAATAATTTTATAGCAGAATCCTCTGTTATCTTTAGGAAGCGAAAGCTGCCATTGTACGTACCTCAGACCAGTCATACATTATCTCGGCTGTAATGCCTGCCGCCCATAGCTTCTGAATTATTCCAGTTGCCCTGTTTACAGACATCTGCCCAGCACTCACAACAAGCAAGTCACAGCTGCTGACCTGAGATGGAGGAAAAGAATTGTACATACATATGACAATAGGACCAAAGTTCTTATTCTGACACATTTTCATCAGTTCATTCTTGTTTGTCTTACAAATATGCAACAATGCAGTTAAGGAGGTTAGTCTATTTACACATAACTGCCAGATGCAGACATCCAAACTGCCTTTGTGTAATAAGCCCTCAATGCAACATTAGCTTCCCCCCCCCACCTCTTCCTGTGCTGGGTAAAGCCATAAAACGGAATCAACCTAGATCAGTGGTCTCAAAGTACCGGCCCGCGAGCAGGTACTTTGTGGCCCGCAGGCAGCTCAGAAGTCTGGTACACTGTCACGGACCGCGTATCAGACTTGCGGGGACAGCTACATGGTCTGCATCTCTGTCGGATGCAGACCGCATAGCTGCTTCTGTGCCGGCACTCGGATCCTTTCAGCCGGCACTCGGATCCTTTCAGCCGGCATCTTTGCTGAACGCTGGTCAAAAGGATTGATTAGTAGGGTCTGCAGCAGACCTTACTAATCGCCACTAGATCACCAGGGATCGATGATCGTGGCTGACAGCCTCCTCCCTGCAACAAGGTAAGCAGGAGAGGGGGCTGTGTATTTAATTCACATGTGGGTGTGGGGGGGGGGAGGACTGGGAATTATATTGTTATATGTGGGGGGTGTGTGGAGGGAGGAAATTACACAATTTTATGTGTGTGTGGGGGGACGACGACTGTTAATTATATTATATGTTGTGTGTGCGTGGGGAGGGGCATCTTCGCTGAACGCTGGCCGTAAAGATCTGCTGCAGACCTTACTAATCGCCACTAGATCACTAGGGATCAATGATCGTGGCTCAAAGCCTCTTCCCTGCAACAAGGTAAGCAGGAGAGGGGGCTGTGGATTTGATTTACATTTGGGAGTAATAATATCGCATATCATTAAATGTGGTGTGAAGGAGTTTACATGCAACTACTGTCATCTAATCATTAACTTGAATGGGTGACAGCGGCCACTTGTAAACGCCAGATTAGGGATTGCTGCTGCAGGAAAACGCAAGTTTCTGATGCAGGAATCCCTAATCGCACATAAACCTACAGAAATTAATTGGGCCTTATTGTGTGTGTATTGGGGTCCGTAGTACCATACCGGATATGATTCAATTTTATTTTAAAGTATGAAATTTGGCGAGCGGCCCCCATGGGAGAAAAAAATTTGGTGAGTGGCCCTCGAGGGAATTGAGTTTGAGACCCCTGACCTAGATGAACACTGTAGTCCAGGGGTGCCCACAATTTTTTTGTGTTGAGATCTACTTTTTATATGACCAGCTCAGTGAGATGTACCAACGAAAGGCACTGCAACGCACCTCCCGCAACAGAACAGCGAATGCGATGAACGCACTGTACTAGTGTGAATGGGCCCTTAGTCAGATCTAGCACTCTTATCAGAAAAAAGGTAAACTATGGGACTATTACCTGTAATGGCCAAACTCCTAAAAAAACCTCCTAAAGTTGCTAATCTCAGTGTGTAATAGACATGTGCAGGCCAAAAAAATTAGTTTCGGTTGAAACAAATGAAAAACAAATTTTCATTTGGTTTCATCAATGGAAACACATTTCAATGCTGTTTCGGATTCGGAGGCAAACCACACAAAAATCCGAAACCACACAAAGAGACTGCAGAACAAGCAGCAGCCGTATCGGCCACCCGTGCGTTCTGCCATCTTGGGAGTATATTTTGGTATACCTAAATACCAATATATACTCCAAAATGCCGGCGGGCATGCACAGTACCTGCCGGCGGCCAATATGTCCGCAGTGCTTTCTGATAACAAATTTTTATATGCCTGAATATCATAATATTATATAATAT